TTGGGGGCAGGTGCCACAGCCGACGGCTCGCTCTGCGCAGGCCGAAGGGGTGGCGAGGGCTGGTGCGGCGTTGCCCCCTGACGCGCCGCATCAGCATATGTTGCGCCGTAAAATGGCGACACTCTTCGTCTTGCTTCTTTGAATGTGATGTTTTCTTTGACTTTAAGAGTGATGATTTCTTTTTCTTTCTTCCAGTTAGGACACGAACGCGAATACGCGGCGTGTTCCCCGTCACAATTCACGCAGTGAGGCGTGGTAACACAGTTATCAGATGGGTGGCCGCGGCCACCACATCTTGCACAAGTTTTCTGACCCCGGCAGTTCTGCGAACCATGACCAAATCGTTGACATTTATAACACCGTCTCGGATTGGGAATGTAGGGACGGACAGAGAATTTGATGTAGCCTGTGTCTATAGATGAAGGCAGTGTGCTAGATGCAAAAGTGAGTATTAAATGTTTAGTAGGTATTTCTTTGTTGTCGCGTCTGATGACGATTCGTTTCACATCCGTGACATTTTGCTCTTTCCACCCTTCAAGCAGTTCCTGTTCAGACATTTCAAGAAGGTCTGCTTCTGAAGCAACTCCGCGTGAGGTGTTCATCGATCTATGAGGTGAAACAGATACTGGGATATTACCAAATGCTACGAGACTGCCAAGTTTTTCATAGTGGTGTTTTTCAGGCAGCTCAAGGAGAAGGTCTCCGCTAGCCATCTTTGTAACCTTGTATCCTGGGCCAAAGAGCTCGGTCAGAGATTTAGCAACAAGAAATGGCGATATGGCTCTGGCATGTTTTGTTGGGTTTTTGCTGTGCACAACATGGAATTTGGGAAAGCATTGTTTGGGTTGGCTGAAAATTGAGATGTCATCGGTGCGTCCCCTCTTAGGCGGAGGACGATCTAGGAGACGGGGAAATGCAGGTGTTCCCATAGTAGTGTACTTTTTTTCGGCAGCAATGGCGACCACCCACCATGGAGTTCAACCAGGGGACGCTGAAGCACTTAATAGCATAAGGCTGCAGACGCCAGCCGTACATTGCCACTATAACCAAATATAACTACTCAAGGTTGAGTAATTACACAAGGTTAACCCTTGCCGCCAGGAAAAATCGGAAGTAAATGGAAGAGAGAAGAAGACAGGACAGATTTAAAGACGAGAAAAGACTAAGATGTAGGAAGAGAGAGATAGGAAAAGGCGACTGCCGATTTCCCCTGGGTGGGTCTGCCCAGGGGTGCCGTCTACGTGAAGCCGGGGCCAAAGGGGTGTGTTGCCTCTGCCGGGGGGCCTTAAAGGTCCAATCACCCAGCGTCGGCTCAACCCCCAGGATCCCCTTTTCCCCGGACACGGCAAAGCCACGCACGGCTAGGCGTGGGAGGGAGTAGAAACTCCCCCGTTAGCTCGGGTCCGTGGTGTCGCTACACACCAAACGCCTACTGCGCAGGCGCCCCTGCGGGCTCCAGCTGGTCTTCTACAGCCGATGTCTACTCCAGGTGCACCTTTCGAACAAGTGGGCATTGACTTTCTGGGCCCCTTCCCAAAATCGGCTAAGGGCAACCGCTGGATAATTGTTTGCATCGACTACCGCACACGCTACTGCGAGACGGCGGCCGTCCCCTCCGCAACTGCCACTGAAGTCTCGTCGTTTTTGTTACAGTACGTCATCCTCCGACATGGCCACCTCGCCTGATTATCAGTGATCGTGGACGACAATTCACAGCGGATGTCGTGGAGGAGCTACTCCGTTTATGTGAATCCCGCCTGCGTCACTCGACACCATACCACCCCCAAACTAATGGGCTGACGGAGCGTACCAACCGCACCATTATCAACATGTTGTCTATGTATGTCTCATGCGACCACAAGAACTGGGATGACGTACTCCCGTTCATTACTTACGCGTTCAACACCGCGAAGCATGAGATTACAGGCTATAGCCCTTTCTTTTTGCTTTATGCACGTTCGCCCCGGCACACAATCGACACAATATTGCCTTTCTGTGACCACGACAACGTCACTGTCGCCGAGACTCTCTGCCTCGCCGAAGAGGCGCGTCGCATAGCTCGACTACGTACACTGGCATCGCAAGACAAAGCGAAGGCACGCTATGTCATTCACCATCGACCAGTGATTTATCGCTGTGGTGATCTGGTGTGGTTGTGGACTCCGATGCGCAAGCGCGGGTTATGCCAAAAGTTTTTGGCCACTTACGATGGACCTTTTGTCATTGTCGACAGACTTACAGAGGTCAACTATGTAATAGCTCGTCTCACGGCGAGTTGTCGACGAGCTTCCAAAACTCAAGTGGTTCATGTTGCCCGCCTGAAACTGTACACGCCACGACAACTCGACTGACTAGGCCGGCGGCCTTCGTCTGCGCGGAGAGGAATGTTGCGTACATGCACGAAGACAAAGAAGCGTATACGGTGAACGCACTTGTCGCCCAGAACGAGAGAAGAAGAAGAGGATCAGGCGGATCTTTAACCAGTCAGCCGCTTCTGAGCTGCCCCTCGCGACCTAATAAACGGCCCATTTCAACGTCTACCAGTCTCTTTCAAACGTAACAATATTTATTTCCAACATGTCTTGAAAAGCAGTTAAAAAACCATTTGAGAATGCTTGAGGGCCTACATACATGGCAGCACTTTTTGAATACAAGCATTTACAACTATAGCCGGAGAAATGAACAAAAAATTAGAAGCGTATTATTATACAAATAGAGCAGTGGTACAAACAGACATACAGCAAACTATAACTAAATATTCACTCACGAGCAATACTCATGAACGCGATATAAATTGTAATACTATGATACAAAGTGCAAACACGTCAGCAGAATGATTCATTCTGGTGACGTATTATACATAATGAAAACACACTACAAAGAACACTATGTGAGGGTGACGAAAAATTCACGCATTTCTCTTTTTCAAAACACAAAGTTAAGGCCACTACTCTCATATTTATTTAGTAAGGAAGAAAATGCGTATCTAAAGGAGTGTAGAAAATAGTTTGCGCGAGAACAAGGAAAAGGTGCCATCTGTCTGTCCGCACTTCGGGTCTGTAAATCTGTGTTGTAAATTTGTTTGATAAATCTTTAATGAATGTTTGAAATTGTTTTTCTTGCAAAAAGTAGTTATAAATAGGTAGGAAGTTGTACGTTTCATACTTATTACTTATAGCGTTGGAACAGAGAATCTACAGACATACTGTGTGGGACATTGGCAGTACAGCGCAGTGCTCTTTTCTACAATGAATTATTTTTATGTTGCCCAAGGTTGTGGTTCCCCAGACAAGTAGGCAGTAATTTATGTGCAAGAAAAACAGAGCGTGGTAGATCTGCACCTTAGGTTTCTCCAGAAGAAAATGTCGATATCGTAACAGAACAGCAGCAGCACGCGATAATGATTTGGTAAATGATTCAACATGACACGACCACTTCATATGACCAGAAAAAGCCACGCCTACAATATTGTTTTTCTGCACTACAGGTATTCCGTCCAGCGTTAATGATTCATAAGGATTAATTTCCGTACCTCTAGATCTGAAAAAGACAGCTTTAGTTTTTTCTGCATTTATTCGCAGGCCATTAACAGTAGACCACCGCAGCACACCTGAAAGTAAGTTTTGGGCTCTGTCAATAATTTCAAATTTTCTTCCGGAAACAAAACAAGACTGGCGTCATCTGCCTACAGTAGAAATGTAGCGTCATTGTTTATGTAGACACTATAATTTATGTAGATAATGAAGAGCACTAACCTTGAGATGCTTCCTTGAGGCAAGTATCAAAAGATAGTCTTGTAGGGAAGAGAACAGTTAAAGCTTAGCATAAAGATCATTTCCATAGGCATGCAGTCACCGACATCGGCAGTAAGAAATTCGCTCAGCAAATTAAGCAAATCCAAAATGTAATTTTGAATGTACAAAACATGCTGCGTATACCTCTTATTCCTCGTTGCAAGCGGAACCATCCTTGACTTAGGAAATGCACTTCCCTCCGACGAGGACTACGTCATATACGATTAACGATGTCTTCGCCGATCAGGTGGTTCATCGCAATAACGAGTTTTCGAAGACTAGTCTAATGAATGGTGCGACGAGAGGCTGTCTCTCCAAACTGTCACTGTACCTGGCATCTACTGTGGTTTACAGTACTTCTTACAGTACTGCCTCGCCGCCGTACTAAGGTACTCGGCTGCTGACTCACTGGTCGCGGGATCGAATGCCGGCTGCGGCGGCTGCATTTTCGATGGAGGCGAAAATGCTGTAAGCCCGTGTGCTCAGATTTGGGTGCACGTTAAAGAACTCCAGGTGGTCGAAATTTCCAGAGCCCTCCACTATGGCGTCTTACATAATCATATGGTAGTTTTGGGACATTAAACCCCACATACCTATCACTCATTCTTACGGTACTTTTATTTACTCCATTCACAACTTACGCATGGGGAAAGGGGAAATGTCATGACCTGATATACATGTACACCGTCTGTGTAAAATACCGCCGATAGTGACGTCGCAGAGAAAGGCTGATGTCTGCCTCCCCCCAGCAGGGTCAGTGTGAGCCCCTCCCCCCCCCTCCCCCCTCGGAAAAAATTTCTGGCTACACCCCTGGTCTGCGCGCTTGGATGGATGGCGCAAACTGCAGGTGGTCGATGTGGCCTGCATTTCTCGCCGAAATTAGCACACCTGAGAAATTTTTGAGGCTGGCTGGGCATTTTGGCGCAATTTCCGCAAATTTCACGGCTTTGGCACAGCTCGGCACAAAAAATCTGAAATTGTATCAAATTGGCACAGCTGTTGCATCCCCGCACTGTTGTGCTCACTCCCATTGACATCTCATCACAAACTCCAACAGCTATCACCACGATAGGAAAACACGGCACCATGCCAAGGACTCACCTTTCCCATATTGTGCACTGTGTGAGGGCACTAACAATACAAACGAGCCCAACTCTATAATGCTATAAATGTAGAGCACCATGCAGCTTTCAATGACAATCCAGCTTCAAGTACACTAAAATAGTCTTTATTACAAATGTGCGCAGCTTGTGGCAAACAAAACATTATCATTTGTGGCACATTGCTCATCACAAACTGTCACTGCAAGTGATAAAGCATAGCAGCAAATGCAAAAATCCAGCAAGCACTCTTCGAAAAGTAGAAAGCCGCTATTTTATTATTCGTGCAACTCAAAAACAATTTTTAGCAAGTACATTAAACCAACATAAGAGAAATTGTGCGTCGAAAATATTCATGTGACAACAAATCACATACAATACATCCATGCTACTAAGCCACTGTAAATAAAAAAACAAAATCAATACAGCACTAATACAGAGCTATTTCATCATTTACAGCAAAAGTGTTTTGAAACAAGGACAAAAAAAAATCAATATGCATTCCATTGGCCTGTACAGCAGCCCACAGGCATGGGCACTCCGAAAAATGAACTATAAAACATTTTTCACCACTGTGCTTCAGCGCAAGGAATGTAAAGATCCTTGCAAGAGCACCTAAGGTGATGCCAGAGTCCAGTGATGTGCTCCATTAAAACACTCGAGTAGTACAGTGTGCATGTAAATTTTTTTTAAAGTGACCGACAAGTGACTTTTTTCGATCCAGTTTTTTCCTGCGCTACAGAAAGCTTACCCTTTGCAGTGATTGTAGCTGCAGTAATTATTCCCAAGAGCTCATAGTCATTTTATAAGCAGTATGTTTCGATCAGAAAGGCTCTGAACATGGTAGTGCCTTTTCATTTGGTAACGCTGAGTATTGATAGCGATGCCGGTAGCCTTTCTGGTGGCTTATGCATGCTGTTCTTATTTCATTTGCAGGATTTCCTGGAACTATGCTTAAAGACGTTTATTCTGCACTTTAGAACTATTTTTGAAAGCAACAAGTCATTAAAATGAGACAGTGTGCCTCTATAGAGCTTCCTTGCATTTTCACCGCATCGCCAAGCCAAGTAATCGAAAACGGAACTGCACATGTGTCATGCAAAGGCAGCGCCACTTTAACGCGTACCACTAATGCAAGCTTATACATTTACTTTTTTAAAATAAGTTTTGCTATAAAGAATCAAACAATATTTCAGCACTAATCAATAAATTGTTGACCGTGTACATTAACGCATGGTCACGTGACAGGGCATTCATGATAGTTAATGTTTTTGCCACCAGAGACGCCACAGGCCATTTTTCACGATATTGATTGAAGAAATAAAAATAAAAACCCACTTCTCACGGAAAAAACAGGGTTGGTTTGAGTCACTAAAAGGGAAAATCTTTCCACTCGTGCAGTCATCTTATTTCATGTTGTGGGCAGTTGTCGGTCTCTTTAATGAGTGCATCACACACGAACTCTCTCTCGAGAATGCTTAATACAAATTGTGCTAACCAGCCAAAGTATTTAAGACAAAAGGCTTTTGCAATGTCCGAAAATACCTTAGTTGCATACGAGTACCTAGACTGAAGGCCTGTCAAACAAAACAGTGCTACCAACACCACCCCCTCCTTTTCAGTACTCGTCGTCATCCTCGACTTGGCTCTGCTGCAACTGAAGCTGTTGCTGCGCCACCAGCTGCATCTGTGTCCACTCTTGCTGGGCCAACTCGGCTTGCTGTTGCCGCGCCTGCATGAAAATTAATTTACGGGTCACATTCAACTCTTTTCCCGTAAATGAAATAAATGTATTCACTTGGCCACCCTTGACTACTCAAGGCTAGCTAGTACCAAACAAAATAACAAAGGTATTCACCAACAAAATAAACATGATTTAAACTGGCCTACAAAACTCATACAGAACACACATCACACATTTCTCGCCACACTGCAGTTCCGCTTATAAGATGCTGCACTGCTAGAATGCTCACAGTAAAATGAAGCAGTAGCTATTAAGATGGCCCCACCCAAATTGAATTTTGGTCTAATCGAGCTGTGCTTACATCAGAACGAATCCTCAAATTGCCAAGTGCCCACTTTAGGTTGACTAGCCAGCATGCACGTGCCTACAAAAGAACTACCAGTAAACATCAAATGCATCATACACTACCATGCCACATCTAAAATATACACTGAAACCTTAGTGATACGAATCCGGCAGGGTCACCAAAAGTGTTCGTATTATCCAAAATTCGTATCACCGAAAAATGCAGAAAATCAACATGCAATAAAAAAAAAAAGCTGGCGTACATTTCCACTCATTGTTTCTCAGCGTCGCAGCAACATCGCAAACAAGTGAACTCCTAAATCTCCAGAAACTCCTAAGCAAAATCTATTGTCAAAAAAAAAACTCGCATATGTCTTCCTAGGAAACAAGTTAACAGACGAGACAGCGCAGCCAGCTGCCAGGGAAGCGCAGGTCAAAGTTTCCAACTTAAAACTGAATGCCCAAGTACAGTTAAAACCTAGGTGTAAGAAAATTGGAAAACGTTCCCGAATTTTCGTTACATCCAGGTTTTCATTACATGCAGATTGAGTAAAGACTTGAGAAACGATCGCAAAAACCAAATAAAGACGCGGCAGATGACAATACAGAGCCATTCAGCTCAAAAAAATATTTACTTAGCACAAAAAAAAAAAACTGCATTATTTTGGCTTGTATCTTTCATGTTTGGAAGATAATGTTACAAGGCTGTTCAGAGAAACCAACTCGTCTAATGCTGCCTCGTCATCCTGCAAGTCAACAAGACGGCGTAGAACATCCAGCATGTCCAAGACCTCCTTCGCAGTAGGCAATGGCAACGTATCTGCCTCTGACGCACCTTACCATCATCACGATCTTGGGCAGTTTCTACAAGTGCCACATCCGACATTTCTTCTGTAGACATTGCATCACTGTCGGCATACAAAAAGTCGTCAAGTTCAACGTCGTCAGGCACTTCACAATTCGGGCAAAGTACATCCCACGCTTCACTGACGTCAGATGAATTTGAAGGTTTTTGGGGCTCCTTTTCGTCGAGTCCAGCATCTATAACTACTGACAACAGGGCTTTCACGAAGCAATTTCCGACTGTCCGTTTTTACTTCCTGTCAAAAAGCAGCAAGCATTTCGTTGGCTTGATAAATGTCCGTTTTTGTTAACCGTTCAACGCGTATATCCAAGAGGATCTTCTGAGTGACGGGACGACGATAGCAACACTTTAAGCAATAGATGATCCCTTTGTCTATCGGCTGTATTAGGGACGTGCATTTGGAAGGGAAGTACTGCAGCTCGATATTCGGTAGCTAAAGGTCTTCGATGTGGTGCGCGAAGCAATTGTCAAGCAATAGACATATTTGGTGACCCTGATGCTTGACATCTTAATTGAATGCTTTCAGATGTACAGTGAAGATTTCTCAGCTCACTCCAGGCCTTCGAATTGGCCACTTACTTGACTGGCATCCGCTTCGTGCCTTTAGAACACCTTGGCTGGGCATTTCTGCCTATAACTAATAAGATTCTTTTGTCACTGCCATCACTGTTTGCACAAAACAAAACCGTGACGCATAGGTTGCTCTCCTTGCCACCTCGACAAGCGCACCCTTTGAGCTCCAGCATGCAATTCGGAAACATCTGATAGAACAACGCCATTTCACCAGCGTTGTACAAGTCCGCCGCCTCATAGCGGTCCAAGATGCCAGGCAACTTCTCGGCCACCCACGAGGCAGAGGCATCGCTGTCAGCAGATGCGGACTCGCCGCAAATCACTCTACCGACGACATCATGCCGACTCTTGAACCCCTGCAGCCAGCCGTTACTTGCCTTGAAATGGTCATGGCCAAGAATGCACGCAAAATTCTTCGCTTTCCACTTATGGGCACGTTGCGTGCCCGCTTGTCCAGTAAACAGGTGAAGGCAGCCTTGTTCACGTCAGCGGACGTTGACTTCTTCATTCAGTTTTTTTTTTCGTACCCGTGCCCGATTCTGCTGTCTTGCGGATGCCGTCCTTTGCACTCTATATCGTCGAAAGAGACCTGGCTGGAATATTAAAACGTGGTTCAACGTCCTTTTTCTCACCAGCAGAAACCACGTTAACAATCTCAAACTTTTCTTTGAAAGACAAAACCTTGTGCTTTCTCTGCACGAAGCTCATCTTCACAGTGAGGGCAGCCGAGAGGACTAACAAGAGACTAGAGAATGCTCGACGCTCACACCTGGCTCGTCTCACCGCTTTCTTCACCCGTTCGGCACAGTAGTGCCACCAGACGACGCAACTCGCAAGCAAAAACTGCATAGTGTGACCTTTGAGATAGCGCGCTTCATTACCTTCTCCGAAGGCTTCGTAACGAGGGAACTCCATTTGCCGCTAAGCGGCACAAGCTATTCTAGCGATGCTTGCATCATCATTGCGGCACACACTTGCCTGCTGCAATGATATGCGTTCTGCTCATGGTTGCCCCCTTGTATATTAATTCTTCACATTATAGAACTTGCGTGTTGTACACACGAGATTTTAGTAATGTTACAACTCAGAATAAAAAATAATCAGTGCCGTAAATTTGTTACATTCACATCAATTACCACAATAACTTCATTACATGGAGGTCACAGGGACAGAGCAGTGCCCTACTTACTGAGAAATTAAGCCAAATGTATCGCACGACATGCGCCACGAGTAGGACATTTTGATGATGTCGATGACCTGAGAGTGTCGACTACAATTAATCACTAGCATACCTGCAAAGTCTCCTGAATCTTTTGGGAAACGTGTGAATTTCGACCAGTTTTTACATTTGTACTGTTCTCTGGAAATTTCCTGGAAATGGAAACTTCTGTGCGTGATCTGGCCGCATTCACAAAAATGCATCTCTATCTGATCTAGGCCTTTTTTTTGCAGCCAATCGCATTGTGTTGCAAGCGAGTTTTGAAGACTTTCATGTAAATGTACAGTAGATGTCTGTGATACCGGTAGATGCGAATTCTTGAAGTTACCAAGCCAACTTTCACTATGTCCATTGGGCAGAAATTCGGATGTTCTGAACACTCTTCTTCATCGCGGCAGGTCGTATGAACTTCAGTACAGAAACCATCAAACGAAGGCCGAGAGCAGCATGTTTGAAGTTTTGAAAGGATGCGCGGATGAAACCGCGGTCGCTCTTGGCACGATCACGTATGGCGACGACGTAGCTGATAGAACTCCGAAAGCGCACATGCATCCAAAGCTCGACCAATCAAAGCGACGTTGCTTTCCACAAACATTGTGCACAAAACTGCTGCAGATGTGATGATAGATAGCAAAAACGACTTGGTTTTGAAGGCACGTGCGCAGGTAGCACACATAGATTGAAAACGGAACAACCGTTTTTTGTAACTGCAGTGGCACCGAGGAGATCATCAATAGCAACTACTAGCTGAAAGCGCGCGGCTAAGGAAGCGGTAGATTAAAGGCAATAAAGATGTAAAAAGGCTAGGAACGTTTCAGCGTCCCTGTACAAAGAATCTGGTAGCGTTGTCCTTGTGAATCTGCGAACTTAGGCCACACAGTTAAACTTGGGTTTGGCTTGGGAACTTCAAGAATTCGCATCTACCGGTATTGCAGACATTCTACTGTACATTTACATGAATGTCTTCGAAAGTCGCTTGCAACAAAATGCGATAGGCTTGCAAAAAGTCTGGATCAGAGAGAGACGCATTTTTGTGAATGTAGCCAGATCACGCACAGAAGTTTCGATTTCCAGGAAATTTCCCGAGAACAGTACAAAATGTAAAAACTGGTCGAAATTCACAAGTTTCCCAGAAGATTCAGGAGACTTTGCAGGTATGCTAGTGATTAATTGTAGTCTGACTCTCTCAGGTCCTCGACATCATCTCAAAATGTCCTATTTGTGGCGCATGTCGTGCGATACATATAGCTTAATTTCTCAGTAAGTAGGGCACTGCTCTGTCCATATTATTCGTATTAGAAGTCATATATTGAGTTTTCCTTCTGTCATAAACTGTTATTTCCCTTCAGTGTCCCTTTAAAAAAGAGCTGTCCCAAGATCAACTATCAGTGTGAACAAATTAGCCAATAATTATTGAAGTCTATAAAGATCTTAGCAATACCTCTACACCTTGAGCTTTTGGTACAAATAGTCCAATCCACCTGCATGTGCACAACAGCCAAACCAGCAGCATGACAATAGGTGACCGGTAAAATGGGCAATCGCAGGGAACTGTGAGATACGACGGCTTCTGGTTCGATGCACCACGCCGGTTAGCAGCAGCACGCGAGCATTTTTGTACAGCTCCGTTGAAAAAATCACCTCTCCGTGCAATGTGAGTGCTTTCGAGTTAGTTTTTTGTTTTTGCTAACCGTGACTGTGACGATGACAAGCTACGAAAGCCATGAACGACAAGGAAACTTTTTTTATCGCACTAAAATGATCTGCAATGCTTTTATGCTGTGCGGGGGTATACTATCAGTTTGGCTAGCAGATCAGTCGATACAGAAAACAGTTATTATATGATACGTTACTGCCGATTTAAAAAAATCATTATTTTAAAGATCTCAGGGGATGGGAATGACTATGGCAGTGTGCCAAAAGTTCATTTCGAGATCGCTGCTTCGGCCGACATCGTCGGTCGATCGACATAAAGCACAGCACCTGTTGAGTGCGTTGAGATATATTTTTTTTCTAGCCTTCAGCGCGTACATATAAGACGTATTT